TTTTTTTTTTTTTTTTTTTTCTGTTTTAAGGACTGACTTGTGTGATTTTGTAGAAGTTTCAAGCAAAAACAAGATTTTTTGGTTGTCATTTCACTGCACAAAAAATAAGGAAGGAAGTAAAAAAGGAAACAACAGAAAGAAAGGAGAGAGAGAGAGAGAGAGAGAGAGAGAGAGAGAGAGAGAGAGAGAGAATCCATAGAGGTTTTGAAACCTGAAGTTTTGGAGAAATAAAGTAGTTTGTGTAGTACAAATTAAAGGAATGATCATAGCATTATTGTAATTTTGAAAGTCCAAAGCAGCAGCAAACACACTTAGAGACTGGAAGCTTTTAGTATGCATGGAGTGGTGGAGGGGGAGAATTCATTGTTTGTTCATGCTTCTGTTCTGCATTTGATGGGGTTGGCTTAAGAGGGAACTTCAGTAATACCACAGTGGAAGGTCTACTTGGGGATTCCTCCCGAAGGGTTGGTTGTCCTGGTTCTGGAGCTGTCTGGTAACCTGTCAAAAGCCTACATTTTCTTTCAAAACCTGAGCCCTGGGTAGTCTAAGCTTGTCAGACTCACGTGCAGCTCAGTTGCCTTTAGAAACCACTGCTGCATGTGCCCCACCTGCTGTTCAGCTTGGAGTCACCACTGGTTTCAATAATGACTACAACAGGCAGCTTTGAGGGCTCCTCTACTCATTATAACACTTCACACTCTATAATTAGTAACAAAGGAGCACAGGACTTCATAAATATGAAAGCCTAAACAATAATCAGGCAGTAAAGGTGAGGCACTGAGAATTTTCCACCTCTTTGTTTAAGTAAAAAAGAATAAACCTATAACTTATTGCATTGTTTCATTTTATTTTATTGTCCTAAAAATAAATCTAGATTTTAATTTTACCCTGGCCATCTATTAGTTGCATGACTGAAAATATTTCATCTAATTTCCTTGTGCCTACATCTCTATCTGAAAATGGAATTAGTGACAGTTCCTATCACCTGGAAGTAATCTAAAGATTAAAGGAGATAATTCATGTAGAGTGCTTTGCAAAGAGTTCTACTTATATAAAAGCTAGCTCAGTATATGTTAAATCTCAATATTATCATTATTTTAATTTCAAATGAAATGCACAAGAGTCTTTGGATGCCTTTTTCAAAGTTTGGGTTATATATACTTTCAAATACAAATGAAGAGGCTGGTGTAGTTTCCATACCCCTACATGTACCCATGCTACTACTTATACTTAATGATAGTTGATCAAGTCTTATTTCATATAGTCTTTCTTTTTGGTGTTGTGGGACAGGATCTTACTCTGTAGTTCAGGCTGACCTTTAACTCACTTTGTAGCCCAGGCTGGCCACAAACTTGCCTCAATCTTTCTGCCTCAGCTTCCCAATGCTGGGATTACAGGCATGTGCCACTATGCTGGGATGTTACTGGTTTTTGTTTTCATAATTTTATTGATAAACAGATAGCAATGAGACAGTTTCAAATCAAATCAGAAGTACAGATTCAACAAATAACACACTGCATATATTCTTCTTAGTGGTTAATTGCTGTACAAGATGCGGACTTGAGATCTTATTTACAAACACCATTAGAACAAATCATTCTATTCATTAAGAAAATGTAATTATATATCTAGCCTAACCACTTTGAATACACAGATGATGTTACTGGTTTTGAACCCAAGACTTAATGTTAGGAAAGGGATGTACCACAGAGCAATACCCCAAATCTCTTCTTTTACTTTGACATAATCTTTCTTCCTCAGCTTCCAGGGCAGCTGTGATTATAGATGTGTGCTTTTGTACATGATTTAGCTTCATTTTTAAAAAAATTCATTTACTATAAGGTCTACAGGGTCTCACTGCACAGATCAGACTCATAGTGTAGGGTCCGAATAATTTGGAAAATTATCATTTAAACAAGAGAGACCACCCTCCAGATTGTTCAGTAGCCCAAATTCCTAAAACCTTAAGTTGGGCTGTAAAACCACAGACCCAGCTTGAGCAAACATCACCTTCCCTGGGTTCGATGACATTCTTGTGAAACAGGGTCACAATGTTTAGTTACTCCCCCTTCCCCAGAGAACCCACCAAGCCAGTTCATAGTTAACCTTTAACTGACCGTTCTTAGTCTCCCTTTTTAGGACATATTCTAAAACCCACCAATTATTTTAGAGGTTACCCTAAAATTAACCAATGTGATCTGCTTCTGTAACCCCACTTGCAAAACCCCTCCTCCCTTTGTCTTCTAGCTTAAAACCACCACCCACGGTCAGTTCCGGGCACTCTCTGTTCCTGCGTGTTCAGACCACCCTGTGTGCACACAGTTAATAAAATTCCCTTTGTTCTTTGCATGAGAGACCGACTCTTGGGGTCTTCCTTCGCGGCGACTCGACCCTTACAATAGTAATCCTGTTTTCAGCCTCCCAAGCACTGGGATTAGAGGGGCATGCCACTAACCCAGTCTCAGTCACCATCCTAGTGTGCCCTGCAGGTGGGCAAGTATTTAATTTGTGAACAACCACATTTAGCTTTCTTGCAGTTCCTGATAGATACTTGGTAAGTACTTGTTGAATGAATAAATGAGGGCAGGGATTAACGTATACAGAGATTTATATATCTCATGAAACTATGTGTGTGTTGTGTGCAGTTACTGGAGATTGAACCCAGGAATCAATCATTTGATTAGAGCATGCTAGACAAGCACTCTACACCTAGCTATTATCTCCACCCAACCAATATTTAGGTGAGATTTTATAATATCTGAAATTCCACAGGTTCAACATTGCCATGAACATTTATAATGCCCAAATAATTAGCACTTGAAAGAAGATTTAATTCTGGTACTGAAATCATTTGTTTATGTCTGACTAAAAGCAACCTCGTGAAAAGTAATTAAGAGTCTTTTCAAACACAAGACAAATCCTTTATTACTGTGCTTATAAGTGACATGGTTTACGGAAAACCAAATGTAATTAAATAACATTTAACTTGAAATCTACACAGACACAAGGTATACAAGTGGTACTTGGCAAGATAAAATTTCTCAAAACATTAGGTTATTTCTGGTGAAAGAAAAACTTCCATTAAGTAGTTCCAATGTGTTTTGTTTTTTTGTCCTATAGACAGTTCCTTTGGCAATAACTTCCACTTTAGCTTTTATTATATAAAAATATAACAAAATTTCATTATATATACAAACATTACATTACACAATGTACAGGTTAAAAACACTAAGAAAATGGCAAGCTGCAATTGAAATTAAAGTCAATAGCATGATAAGAAAAATTAAATACTGAACACATTTCATAAAAATTACATAAACTACATTTTTTGTTTGCAAATACCAAACAGTACCAATGTGATTGGAAATAGCTTCCAACAGCTTCATTTTAAGGCACATCTTGCATATTTATATATACAACACTGAAATCAGTCAATAACTTAGGGGCTTCTCAGAGTGACCTGTATATGTGTGTGAAGACATGCAGCATAGGGTTACACATTTTCATCAGTTCCCTTCTTTGGGGACATGTATCTGCCAGGGGGTGATTCATAGAGGGGCACCCCAATCTCCTGCAGGTCTGGCAGCCTCCCTGGTCGGGGAGGGGAGAGCAGAGTGACTGTCCTGTCATAGTCCCTGTGCAGCACTTTCTCATAGACGCTCTGCAACCCCACTGTCTTGGGAAGCTGGGCCTGGTAGTAATTGTCCCTACGCAGAGGATCCCGAGGCAGAGACGTGCTCTTACAGAAGGTGGACATCTGGGCTGGCGGATGTGGCGGGGGGTGAGCATTGGGTCCTCCACAGGATGGGCTCCAGCAGCGGTCAGAGTGACCTAGGATCTTACACTCTGCAGTGCACGCCCACAGTCCTAGCACAAAAGGAGAAAGAACATAATGCTTATTCCTGAGATTACACACACCCAACTTTTCATCTTCAGAATGGAAAATCAGCCAGGGTCAGGACGACTGGAAAGGAAAATGTAATAAAACTAAACGCACGATTTGGGCATTCAGTCACCTTTATGCAAAAGATGGCCAAGTTCTTTTGTTGGGGGAGAAAAAAAAGCAGAATTCCCTCTATGCTTCTGCAGGGGTGGAAGGTAGGGGGTGGGAAAGTGTTTTATTCAAATGGTTTAGTTGCTTCCCCTTGACACTCTGAAATTCAAGACGTAAGACCTGCCGGGACCTGGAAACTGAGGCATGAAAGGGGGTTGCTGAGAACTGAGATGCCTGTAGTGGGAGGGGGGGGGGCGAGGGAGAAGGGAGAGGTCGATAGGAAGAAGAATCCTCACCACTCTGCATGTGGTTGATGAGATCCTTTTTCAGGGCATCACCGCTAATGTCAGAATCGCTGTCGTTGAAATCACTGTCCCCTTTGCCGCTGTCTTTGCCGCTGAACTTCTCAGCTTCTCGACCAGAGATGGTGTTGAATGAGTGTCCCTTCCAGACTGCCACAGGGGGCGCCGGCTCCTTTCTGAAGCCAGGGGAGGCACCGTAGGGCTGCAGCAGGGAACGGGGAAGGGGTTGGACAAGAAACAAAAGAGCAAGCACGACAGGTTAAGCGTCCCCTTGAGAGAGCCCACCCCATACACCTCCAGTCTCCTTCCCCCAGCCTGTCCCCCGAACACGGAGGGGGGCGCCCAGCTGAAGGAAGGCCTCACCTCGGCGTGCGCGCCGCGGAGCCGCTGCTGCCCCTCGAAGTGACAGGCGCTTTCCCCAGTGGCGCTGCCGCCCTCCGAGCCCGGCATTTCAGCCGCAGCGACAGCGGGTGGGGGCGCGTCGGCCGCGGGGCTGCCAAAGGGCGCTTTGCCGCTGCCAGGGAAGGTGAGCACGTCGAACATGTTGGGCCTGGGCCCAGCTCCCCGGGCGGCCTCCTCCGGGGAGCCGGGAGCCGAGGCTCCGCCGCCCGCCGCCCCGGGTCGCTCTTCCCGGAGGGTCCCCCCTTTGCGCACCTCCTTCTTGCGGCGGTTGCAGGTGGTGGCGATGGCGATGATGGCGGCCAGCAGCAGTGTGCAGCTCCCAGCCAACACGATGATGACAATCAGCGGTGTGTCCCATTGTAGAGCAGGCCCCGAAGCCCCAAGCCGAGAGCCAGAAGGGTGGGAGTGCTCAGGGGTTCCAGCACTGGCAGGAGCAGCCGGCCCGCGACCGCCGCCTGCTGTCACCACGAAGCTGACTGTGGCAGTGGTGGTGAGAGGGGGGCGGCCGCCGTCGGATATGACAAGCAGAGCCCTGAACACGCGGCCAGGAGGTTCTTGCGAGAGGTCGCTGGTGAGCACGATCTCCCCCGTGCGGCGACCGATGGAGAAGATTTCACGGGGTTCCTGCTGTTGCAGGTCAAATGACAGCTCCCCGTTGGCGCCCTCATCTGCATCCCGGGCCTGTACGCGCGCCACAGCGGTCTCTTTAACTGTGCGCCCAGGGACAGCTACTTCTAGGGAGCCGTTGGCTGGCGCGGGGTGCACCAGGACCGGCGCGTGGTCGTTCTGGTCTAACACGCGCACTTGCACCAGCGCACTGCTCGAAAGCGGAGGGGAGCCGCTGTCGCTGGCCTGGATGCGCACGTCAAGCTGGCGCAGCATCTCATAGTCGAAGCTGCGAAGCGCATAAATAGCGCCGGTAGCCGGATCCACAGAGACATAAGTGGACACAGCGTCCCCGGAGTGGCCTACCTCGGTCTCTAGCAGCCGGTATGTGACTTGGCCATTGCGGCCCAGGTCCGGGTCCCGGGCAGCCACTGTAGCCAGGTAGGCCCCAGGCGGGTTGTTCTCGCGCACCGACACCTCGTAGACTGGCCGCGTGAAAAGCGGTGCGTTGTCGTTTTCGTCGCCCACTCGCACTGTGTATGGTCTCACGGTGCGCAGCGGGGGCGCGCCACGGTCCTCTGCCACCAGCGTCAGGTTGTACTCAGCGATGCGCTCCCGATCTAGCGAAGCCGCGGTCACCACCAGGTAGCTGCCGGCGTAGGCTGGCTGCAGGCGGAAGTGTTCATGCCCGTAGAGGGCGCAGCGCACCTGCCCGTTGGCCCCCGAGTCCCTGTCCGAGGTGCTGACCAGCGCTACCAGGCTCTCTCGCGCCGCTCCCTCTGGCACCAGTGAGGTAGTGCCGACCTCGGACGTCCCGGGCCCCGCCGACGAGGAGGTGTCCGCACCCTCGAGGGCAGCAGTAGCAGCTGCAAAGGGCGAGGCGGCTGGAGCTCCGGGGGCGGCCAGAGGAGTGATGGAGATGTCCGGAGCGTTGTCGTTGACGTCGCGGATGCGCACTATAACCTTGCAGGTGGCAGCACGCGGCCCAGCACCACGGTCCTGCGCCCGCACGTCCAACTCATAGGTGTCCTGGCGTTCGTAGTCCACCCGCCCTGCCAGAGTGAGGCGGCCGGAGCGCGGGTCAAGCCGGAAAAGGCGGCGCGCTTCGGGTGGGGTACGCGCGCCAAAGGCGAACACCACGTCGCCGTTAGGGCCCTCGTCCGGGTCAGCTGCGTCCAGGTCCAGGAGCAGTGATCCCACGGGCGCGTCCTCTGCCAGCTCTACCTCCGCCACGGCACCCTGGGGGAAGGCCGGGCTGTGATCGTTGGCGTCCAGCACGCGCACGCTGAGGGCTGCAGTGGCAGAGCGTGGTGGGCGGCCGCCGTCCTGGGCCACGAGCTCCAGGCTGTAGGCCGCCTGGCTCTCGCGGTCCAGCTCCTGAAGCAGCACCAGATCGGCACACTGGGCGCCGTCCGCGCGTGTCTGCAGCTCCACGCGGAAGGGGCTGTTTGGCTCCGTCAGGCGCATGGTCTGCAGACCGTTAGCCCCCACATCTTCATCCACTGGAACCTCCAGGGGGATGCGCGTGCCCACCGCCACACCCTCGGACACCTCCACTGGGATCTGGGCCCGGGGAAAGCGCGGCGCGTGGTCGTTGACGTCCCTCACCTCCACTTCCACGTGCACAAGCCGGAACTGCTCTTGGGAGAAGCTGACTACGTCGAAAGCCAGAACACACTGTGGGGCTTGGCTGCACAGCCGCTCACGGTCAAGGCCTGCGTCCCCGACGGTCAGCTGCCCGTCACTTTCCCGTACCCGGAGCAGAGAGCTGTTGAACTGCTTCATGAGGCGGAAGCTTGTGTCTCCCGACACTTTCATATGCAGGTCCTCAGCCAGGGTCCCGATGACTGTGCCGGGCGCATCCTCCTCGAAGGTGCTATAACGGACAGTCTTGCTCTGGGCCACTGAGAGCACCCAGCACAGGCTGAAGAGTTGCAAGGGAAAAAGGCAAGGGCTGCCCCAGAGCCTGGTAGGACTCATGCCGCCAGCCCCAAATGTTATTCCAGAAGGCCAAGGAAGACAGTCCTGACTGCTTTGCAGGTTGGGGCGTGAGTCCCAGGTTCCCAGGAGCACGTCCTTTCCAAGCCCTGAGCGGGAGAGAGAAGTCAGCCGGCTGCAGCTCCGGCTCCAGCTGGTTCTGAGGACGCGCGGATCCGCCCTCACTCCGCGCCTCTCCCTCCTCTCTCTAAGCGAGAGCTGCGCCACAGTGCACCGCCTCCGCCTTTATAGCCGCTTCTATGCAAATCACCCGAGCCTGGCAGCCAATGGTCGCCTGGCTCTAGCGCAGCTCCTTCGCCAGCCTCTGACAATCGTTTTAATGTGGAAAGGCTTAGAGGAGAAAACAAGAAAGGAAGGAGGAATTTTTTTTTTTTTCTTTGTTTTAAAAACTCCTGCTTCTTCCCCTTTCTGTCAGCACTCTGCTTGTAGAGGCGTTGGCCCAAGGCTCCGGAGGTAAAGGAGCCTATGGTTTTGTTAATTACACGGCCTGGCCAGTACAACCACTTCCTTGCCCTCTGCTAAAACCGAGTGCGAGCCGGCTCCCCAGGGGATCCAGGTCCTTCGCCTCGCCGCCCACTCCTCTCACTTTTGTCTTTATTTTGCACTTCTGAAAGCTCCAAACTTACTCTGCAAACGAATTTCAGCGCTTTTTCTTTCCCAGCTTTCCCCAGCACCAGGCAGCGTCTGTCAATGAAAAAGCCTGAAGGATGAAGGAAAATTGATTTTATTCAAATTTGTGTACGCAATTGTGTTTTGCTTGTGTGAGCCTCGGTAAGCAGAGCTGTCACTTCCTTTGCAGAAAGGAGCACTATGATATGTTAGTATGCATGTCACTGTCCAAATGGTTTTCTTAAGTCTTGGCGCTAGCTGGCAAGGAAAAAAAAGTTCCAAATAGGATTTAGCATAAGCTTGAGGAGATTTGGAAAGGTTTCAAAGATCAGACTGTATCAAAGGCGTCATTAGCAGTGGAAATAGAATGGTGTGGTAGGCGATCCCATCGGAGGCCTCAGTGTCTGTATTTTTTTTTTTTTACTGTGACAAGCTAAGGGTAGAGAAAGTTGAACAGTTTCCATGGTGGAGTTAGGCTAACTTGAATATAATGAGCAAACACCACATGTATCCATTATGTTTCCCTATTCATCCTCAATCACTTCCATAACTCTCTGGCTAAACGGTGTTGGGCGCTGAATTCTACACAATACCCAGTTGTATTAAAGCGCATTTAGAGAACTTTCCCTCCTGATGCCTTGTTCCGCCTATTTAGAAGATTTTCTTCTGTTCTAATGAGGCTGCTCTGGGAAGCAAGCTAGTCCTGTTTCAGCAAAACAAAATCACAGCATGACGTTGAAACCTGGCACGAACCTGGGAGAACTTAACCATCTGCCTACAAGTGTGCAGCTTAGGCATTGCCAAATTCTGGGCCAGGCGGGTCGACAGGCCTTTCAGGCACTGTGTCATTTCCACAGATATACCCCTTCCATCTCTGGAGGCATCAATCAGAAGAAGACAGATTCTTATTGATTGTTACTGAAGTGCTTCATTGAGCAGCCCACGTAAATACACAAGAAGGAAGAGATGTAAAAATCAAGAGATAATAAAAATGCAGTAGGTTTAGTAAGCAGATTGCATCCTGCCAACATTCTTCTGAATGCTGATTTGGGCCTAGTGCCAACGTCCTATACTTGTTTTCCTTATGTTCAACTTCAAAGGACTGAGTTTTGGGATTTTTCTGGAAGAGGACCCGGTACAGTGAGACCACTAAGAAAGCTGGGTGGGCAGTGGGGTAGAGGAAGAGACGGAGGTTTTCAGAGTTGCTAGGTAGCAGAAAATGCAGAACCAGCCACCAGAGATAACAGCTCTTACAATTAGGATGAGGAAAGTGGGTAGACTAGAACTTCTTTAAATCTTGCAGCTTTCCTTTATATCAACTCCACTGTATAATTCTAGGACTGTTAAAAACAACAGGTCATGCAGAGGAATGGAAACGCCAATGTCCTTGCAAGACCCGAATTCCCAGTCTTCTCTTGCACGTCCCCTCCTCCCAAATACTATATCTGCTGTCTCTGAAAAGACATTCTTAGAGTGGGAGTATATGTGGCCCAAACAACTTTCTGTCTTCTTTCTGAACGCTGAAAGATTTGGCCCTTTCGTGTTTATGTCCTCGCTTCCAACTTTCCTCAATGGCCCAGACACGAACAAATTCAGAACTCAGACACTGGACAGCGGCTTTAGCGCTAAGGCTCCAGTAGCCGGGAAAGTCGGACCTGCGCCGGCAGAGGTGGGGGCGGAGGGGGCGGGGAGGGTTCGGGGACCTGTGGAGCCAGGTGTCTTCTGCAGTGGTCGGGAGAAACATGCTCGGAGTACAGCTAGAAGTGGTTAGGATAGATGAATCTTGAGCTCCCTGCGCCTCTGAGTCCCGCACCTCGAAGTTCTGGGGGTGGACAGCAGGGGTTCAGCTTATTGCTGCCGCCCCCCTTTTCTATCATCCCACCTTTCTTCCCTCCCTCCCTTACTTTCCTCCTCTCCGCTCTTGTCTCCTCCCTTTCCCTCTCCTCTTTCTTGGCGCTTCTACATCATCAGCATGCCCATTCTAAAGGTTGAAATAGAGTGGAGCAAGGAATGGAAAGAGTGGGGAAGCAAGCAAAAACCGGGCGGCTGGAGGGGGGCGTGAGGCACTAGCAGCTGGTTCCAAGGGTTTGCTGAGCTGCTAGGCCCTTGGCAGCTCGGAGTGATGAGGATCGGAGCTCCGGGAAAGGGCAGGCCTGGTGAGGCCGGAGAGGTGCAAAGCTCGAGGCCAGTGAGCCCCTCGCTTTGCCGCCAGCGTGGGGAAACAGAGCTTTAATCAGTGCGTCCCGCTGTGAAAACCCAGGACGAAACGTGCGGGGGACGCGAGATAGCGAGTGGGCCGCAGAAGAGCAGGGGCAGGGGGCAGGGGCTCGCCGGCTCGAGCTGATCCCCCGACAAAGGCCGCTTAAATCGCCTCGTTGTCATGCCAAAAGGCCTGGGCTGGCTCCAAGTATCTCTTTCTCTGGGTTTTAGCAATTTCACCTGCAACTGTGTTGCAATCCTGAGAACAAACGCATCTCCACAATGGCCGGCGTTTCCCCGAAATGCAAATGTCGCTGCTCCACTGAGCCGGGTTTCTGTCACCGAGCCTAATGCGGGCATTGTGAAACTCGCGTGCAGACACCAAGATTGACACGGGCGTCACGTGATGGATTAGGGCTCTAGGAAAGTTTTCAAAGCAGCTACAATGGGGGGCTCAGCCTGATCTGATATCCCCCACAGTTTAGCGGGAAAGAAAATCAGGATATATTCTCATATGTAATAGGATTATCTTTTCCATTTCAAGTTCTATACAGCATGTAATTTATTTTTAATTAGGATTATATCTACCAGGAAAAGGAACTAGAGTTCGCTGGAAAGTGTAATTCTAAGGATGGATGGAAAGAGGGGCTATTTTTTAACCATTTAACTTAAAAAATAAGCTCAGGGCCATGTTTTTCCCTCACTGTGTTGAATAAACCTCACAGGGAAGTGCAGAAAATGTTTGGTCAAGCAAAGAACAGAGGCAGCTCTTTAGGGACATACAATTCATTCTTGTGGAGAAGCCTCATTTTGCAAAAATCATAGACACCCTAAATCTCTTAGTTTTGCTTGGTTTGGTGTTCTAGAAATGCAATGAAACTCTTTTCTATCTTCCAAATGTTTGGGTTTTTTAAAAAGGGGTGTGTGTGTGTGTGTGTGTATTTATTTATTGGGCTGTCAATTCTGGCATGGTGCCTTTTAAACTTTATTCTAAACCCTAAAACAGTGTTTGCCATGACCCCATTTCAAAATCAGCAGTCAGACAATGAGACAATTTGGAATGAAAGTAACTATTGTTCAAATAGTGATTTTGGATTGATACCACGTGTTGTATGCTCACAAATCCTGTATTCTTTTCCAGGGCATAAGGGATAGGCAATTTTGAATTTTCATGCTTTTGCTTTTTGAAACAAGCTAATTCAAACTGATCTTGAACTAACTTTGAAGCCCAAGCTAGTCCCTGTCTCAGGCACCTGAGTCCTGGGAATGCAGGATGTACCACACCCTCATTGGTGGCCATACAGAATTTTGTGTGCTCCTTATGCTAGGAGACTCTTAGTAAGTCTACTTCACCTGATAAGAAGCAGAACAGGGTAGTTGACTGCAGGATTTGGGATCATGCTGTTTGAATTCAAATCTTATCATCATCAACATGTACAATTACTTGATCTCTTCGTATATTAATTCCCTAACCTGCCAAATAGGGTCAATAATCATGCCTGTTAAGGTTGTCTTGAGTACTGTGTAAGATGATATAGTACCAGATGCTAAGGAATATGTTATGTTATTTCCTTTAAAAGCACAAGAAGAAACATCAGGTACTATGTAATCTAAACCTTATATTATAGGTGAGTGATTTGTTCAGGAATACAAAGAAAATCCTCTCCTACTTTCTGGCCTTTTTCTTTGCTTCTGATTCTGTTTTCTCATTTTCTGGAAATTGCAGATATAGTGGTAGGTATATAGCTACTAAGGAAGAAGAAGATATTCATGTCAACATGCAAGAAATTTTCTGGCCTTCCCATTATTTCAAAATCTTCTTGTGCATTACTGGTTGTAATCAGAGATGATAATGAAAGGAGTGTTTTATTAGATTTTCTCTACCTATTTATACAAAAGCTTGATAACATGACTAAGACCACCTACAGATATCTGATGAAAAGGAGCTCATATTTCTGGAGGGCAGGAGTATTCCAAAGGACCTTTCTTTCTAGGATGTTATATTAGCTTTCCTATTGCTGGGACAAAATACCCAACACTCATAATTTAAAGGAAGAAAATTTAATTTGACTCCTGATTTCAAGGGGATTCAGTCCATGGTTGACTGGTTCCAAGGCAGAAAAAAATCATTCAGGAAAAGCACAGCAAAATAAAAGTGCTTAGTTTATTCCTCTGTAGCAGGAAGAACAGTGTCAGAAAGGAGGGACTATATTTAGTATGTAATACCACATCTCCATGACCTATCCACATACATCCAGGAGTGTGTTTTACTAACTTTCTTGGTATTTCTCAATCTAATTTAGTCTATGTATCAAGATTAATGGCCACAGATCCCCAAGAGCAGCAGATGATTCCTAAGAGCTTATACTGAGTACTCTAATACTGT